TGGTTTCACATGTTAAATTCATGTCGATTTACAAGGCAAGTGTTGCCTAGTGTTTTCTGATTTCATGTGACATGTGAGAAGACTCAGGTGAAAGCTATACAGATGACTTATGACATAGTGTCCAAGAAATGAGGAAAAGCAGAGGATGATCACATTATAGTCATGTATGAAAACTTGCAAGAAACTGTTTATACTGAGCTACAGTATAATTCATAATTTACTTTAAAAAACTAAAAAGTGACTACTATACAAACTTTACGAAATCCATTTCTTTTCAAGAAACAAGTGACAACCTATATCATCATTAGAAACATTACACTTAATTCCTTACACCTCTGACATCAATAAATGAAGTCTGACAAACTGGCTGAATTAATAAACTATATCAAAAGCATACTGGTAAACCAAAGTAGCCCCTTAGAAAAAGCACCTTCGACATCATCAATCCTAAAGAGCTCCACATGAAAAATATCTTACATCAAAAATTATTTAGCAAACATATACCACAACAAATAGTTTCTACAATTGACGTGAAGCCACCTATGAATTCTGCCTCATGCAACAGGCGTGCATATATCAGAGTGCGGAACGAAGCAAAAGCTCTACTTTACCACCGCCTCGTGGTTAGAGAGAAAAATAGCGAAGTTGAGGGCGACACTTGGACACCTGGGCTCTAACATTACAGCCTGCTCGTAAGCTTCCCGCGCATTTTCCATATCATCTAAATAGGTTAGGGAAACTGTTTGGGAATAGAAATAGCAGATTCACTAGTCTAATAAGCTAAAGCCAAAGAAAGGAAGGAAAGAAGGAGTGTTAGTAATAATTACCGTGGCATCTTGGTTATACAGAAAGATAGCGTAGTTGAGGCAGATGCTCGGATCACGGATCTCTAATCTTAGTGCTTGGTCATAAGCCTGGCCGGCATTTTCCTCGTCATCTAAATAGGTAAGAGCAACTGTTTGGGGGAGAAAATTTTACAGTTTAACACTATCATTTGCATTCTTCAAGAATTCCTTTGGAGTACATTGTAAGTACTACTACTAGTATTAGTATTATTATCATTACTACTACTACTACTACTACTACTACTACTTCTACTTCTACTTCTACTTCTACTTCTACTTCTACTGCTACTTCTACTTCTACTTCTACTTCTACTTCTACTTCTACTGCTACTGCTACTGCTACTGCTACTGCTACTGCTACTTACTATTGCTATTGCTATTGTTACTGCTACTGCTATTGCTATTGCTATTGCTATTGCTACTGCTACTGCTATTATTGTTGCTGCTAATGCTAATGCTAATACTGTTAATGGTACTATTATCATTATCATTGATATGTACCACTAGTAACATTAAATATTTTCAACATATTGAAATTAGGGTTAAGGTACTTATCAAAAAACAACGAAAGTGATTCCTGAAATTAAAACTAATTCAAATTATTAATATACATTCACCCTTCCCCCCAAAAAATAAAATATCACAATCCTGCAACAATATTAATAAACCAGTGAAGAAACACAACAGAAAAACAATCTAATAAAGAATAATGGTGTGCAGAGAAAACTGAGATGTTACATATTACAAGAGAGAAAAAAAGAAAAAAGAAAAAAGAAATCTTTACATAATATAATATAAATAAAATGGAAGATTGGCCAACTACGGCAATATAGCCAAATCTAAACCTATTTTACTAAGGATGATATTCTAATTGATATTTCACAAATATTTCATTACATACTGTCCATACTCAAGGTCACACATATCGTCCACACTTCAAGGTCACATTTATATGACAGCACTCAGATCGAGGCTTAATATTCCAAGGCCCCAAACACATTATCCGAAGATTGATTTATTTGCAAAGCACTGTTGCACCAGACATGAGGCATGAAATCTTAGCATGGGCAGAGGGTAACTCTATATCAGGAATCCTTTTATGCAAGTTAGGCAAACCATGATTTTTACAGCTCAAGAACTAGTAGGACATTGACCAAAAACTTCATGGAAGTGCATGTATATACTTCAATCAGAATAATGAGAATTAGCTTTTAAATGAACATCTCTTTGCACAACTTTTCATTTTCAGATACTAAGGCATCATAAATGCATATGATATTATTCCCAAAATACATTTTTGCATAATATAAAATGTAATTACTGACAAAACTTGAGAAAGAAATAATTATGTATCAACCTTTAAAAAAATATACATCCAAAAAGAAATGTTAATACACAGAACTGTTGATAAAATTTGCAGGCAAGCCACAAATATGTAAAAATTCCATCATAACTGCAGAGAAGATACATGAAAGCAGAATATCGAAAGCATAAAAAATATACACAAATATAATAAAAGAACTTTCATATAACATATAAGTCCATCTTACTAGAAAACTACATATATCATAGTGTTATTCAATAAACTCCCCAGCTGTAACTCAGCAAAGTTCAATACAATACAATCAATGTGGTATGTCCAGCCTGTTTCACAAAAAACATCAGCTCGGATTAGGAATTCTGGTCCATGAGAATCTATATATTGTATTGTCAATAAAGATAAATCACACTAAATTCGTGCTGGAATTAAGCAAAGAGGAGATAAGGTAAAGACACCTTCGGAACTTCTACATATTGCATTGTCAATAAAGATAAATCACACATAATTTGAGCTGGTATTAAGCAAAGAGGAGATAAGGGAAAGACACTCTGAACACCTTCCTAAAATATTTTACACATACATAACAAAACAAGATTCTTGCTCTATACTTACTAGCAAGGAGCATAAAAATATGTCCTTTCGTGGGCCGTAAGTTGACAGCAGCAGACAGGAAGTGGAAGGCTGATGTGTACTGCTGCATAGTGAGGTGAACCAGGCCTAGGTTGTACAGGATCTTCCACTCGAATGGTGCCAGGTAATTGGCTCTTTTCAAGCAGCTTATGGCCTAGAGTGTTAACAATGTATTAGATTCCTACTATCCACAAAAAAAAAAATTTATTTATTTATTTATTTATTTATTTATTTATTTATTTATTTATTTCTCTCTCTCTCTCTCTCCCTCCCTCTCTCTCTCTCTCTCTCTCTCTCTCTCTCTCTCTCTCTCTCTCTCTCTCTCTCTCTCTCTCTCTCTCTCTCTCTCTCTCTCTCTCTCTATATATACATATACATATACATATATATATATACATATACATATATACATATACATATATACATATATACATATACATATATACATATACATATATACATATATACATATACATATATACATATACATATATACATATACATATATATATATATATATATATATATATATATATATATATATATATATATATATATATATATATATATATATATATATATATATATATATATTTCATGAATTATAAGAAATTAAAATTACATAATACCTAGAAAGATTCAGGAATATTACATGACAAACTACGATATATATTCTTCATCCTTCCATGGAATATCAAATCAGCAAAGCAGAAATACAATACACAAATTTCCAGGAAGTCATAAGCCCTCTTTAGGCCAAATCAATACAGGAAAGTGCACACTTACAGCAACATATTTTTTCTTGCCAAAGAAGCACATAGCTATATTGTTCCACAATAGAGGTGACTCGGGTATTTTCTGGGCAGCAATGCGATACTTCGCCAAAGCCACATCGAAATCTTGGTGACTCTGTTAGGATTCAATTCAAAAATAAATAAAAGAAGCATTTCAAGATATGGTTGGTATTTTAGCAAAGTTAACCCACTGCAGATGGGTTCACCAGCCACTACTTTATCTATAGTCATCCAACCTCAATCTATGTAGACTAATAATAAATACATACATTTCTACATATCTTGTTTATCATTAAGTAATTTTTCAGGGCAAAAACTGCTTATCTTGAAATATATATTTACCAAAAATATGTTAATTTATGGATGTTGTATAACTACCCTTAGCCTTCTGTAAGGGATCAATCATTACTTCAGACAACACAAAATGGCAGAACTTACCTCATGTTCCTAAATGCACCATCTTACATACACACTCAGCTATAAACATGCACAATGCTTGGCCATAACTGAAACTGAAAACCCAAAGGCAAAGTAACAGCAACTTAAAATACAAAATAAAAAGGTGCTATAAAAATAGTGCTGCAAATATAACTGTAACAAGGCTATCATTGGTGTAGAATGAAAGGGGAAACACAGAGGTATAAAACACACAGGAAAATGCAGTTGTGCAGGGCACAAGATCAAAGTATTAGACTAACTCTCTCTTCCTCCTTCCTCTCTCTCCCTCCCTCCTCTCTCTCTCCCTCCCTCCTCTCTCTCTCCCTCCCTCCTCTCTCTCCCCTCCCTCCTCTCTCTCCCCCTCCCTCCTCTCTCTCCCTCCCTCCTCTCTCTCCCTCCCTCCTCTCTCTACCTCCCTCTTCTCTCTCCCCCTCCCTCCTCTCTCTCCCCTCCCTCCTCTCTCTCCCTCCCTCTTCTCTCTTCCCCTCCCTCCTCCTTCTCCCTCCCTTCTTTCTCTCTCCCTCCCTTCTTTCTCTCTCCCTCCCTTCTTTCTCTCTCCCTCCCTTCTTTCTCTCTCTCTCCCTCCCTTTTTTCTCTCTCTCCCTTTCTTCTTTCTCTCTCTCCCTCCCTCCTCTCTCTCCCTCCCTCTTCTCTCTCCCCCTCCCTCTTCTCTCTCCCCCTCCCTCTTCTCTCTCCCCCTCTTTCCTCTATCTCCCTCCCTTCTTTCTCTGTCCCTCCCTTCTTTCTCTCTCTCTGTCCCTCCCTTCTTTCTCTCTCTCTGTCCCTCACTTCTTTCTCTCTCTCCCTTTCTTCTTTCTCTCTCTCCCTTCCTTCTTTCTCTCTACCTCCCTTCTTTCACTCTCCCTCCCTTCTTTCTCTCTCCCTCTTCTCCCCCCTCCTCTCCCCCACCTTTCCATCCCTCTCCTTCCATCCTGTGTGTGTATATCTGTGTATGCGTGTGTGCGTGTGTGCGTGTGTGAGAGTGTGCATATGTGTGTTTGTGCATGTGTGCACCTATTTGTGTGCGCGTGTGTATGTACAAGTGTGCGTGTATGTGTGTGTGCACATGTGCAAGTCAGTCAGTCAGTCAGTCAGTCAGTCAGTCAGTCAGTCAGTCAGTCAGTCAGTCAGTCAGTCAGTCAGCCAGTCAGCCAGTCAGCCAGCCAGTCAGTCAGTCAGTCAGTCAGTCAGCCAGTCAGTCAGTCAGTCTTTCTCTCTCTCTCTCTCTCTCTCTCTCTCTCTCTCTCTCTCTCTCTCTCTCTCTCTCTCTCTCTCTCTCTCTCTCTCTCTCTCTCTCTCTCTCTCTCTCTCTTACAAATGCACCCTCTTGCTAAAATCCAGGCTATGCCACTGAAAACTGCTGCAATAAATTTAAGAAGAAAAAACTAAACAAAAATTTAAACAAACATATCTGTGCTAATGACTGTTACAAAAAAATTATGTCAAATAATCACAAAAACCATTCAGCTAGTACTAGGAGTGGAGTATAAATCACATCCATTTATATATAAAGCCATAAAAAAAAAAAAAAAAAAACCCTGAGAAAAATATCCTTTTAGAATGACCTTGCACATTCTTCTTTTCAATTCTCCGATTGCAATGCCACTTACTTGCATCATTGCCCCGGCAGCAAGAATAGCCCGTGTGTTCTGGGGCTCGAAGGTCAGGGTTGTGCCCAGATGCTCAAAGGCTTGTTGGTGCTTCCCCGTCTGCATGTACAGCAGACCAAGAGTGGTGTGTAGGTCTGCATTCTCGGGGAAGTACCTATCATGAATGAGAAAGAAAAAATATCTCTCAAAGGGTAATAAGATATCCTGCTTACTCCATAGCACTGTTTCTATGTATCTGTCCATTTCTTGACCAACATATTTTCTGTGTGTTTCTATCTATCTAGATATCTATTTATCATTTTACCTTTTTACCAATCTATTTATCTATTGCCAACAAATAAAATCATCATATTCCTGATGAAAACTTGACTTTTATGCTTGCACAAATGCTCAGACAAGCAAACACTCACTCAATAGCAGCCTTGTAGGTATTGATGCCAGATTGCATATCACCTTCCAAGAGGTAGAGTTTTGCCAGCATTGCAAAGGTTTGGTGATGTTTGTTCTGCTCAAGAGCAAAGAGGAGCTGCTCCCTTGAAAAGTCATATTCCTTCAGGTGCATGTAGCATACACCTGGATAGAAGGAAAAGGAAAATAAAAAATAAACATCATTCTTTATATCTGCACTATCTTATCAATTTAGTCTATAAACCTAAAAGCAATTTTCAGTGAAATCTAATATAGCTATGCTAATTCCATTGAATATCTTTAAAAAAAACTGTACCTGAACCTTAAGCATGCAAATTAACAACATACATGAACCTGTAAATAAAACTTAAAAAAACAATCAATATACAAAATTCAGTTAGTCTACAATTTGGAAAAGTAAAATACTGCAAAACAGCTTAATTCTAAATTCTTGAAAAAAGAACTTACCCAGATTGTGATGTATCTCCCAGTCTGGCTTGTCACACTTTGCCTCTGCTTGTAAATATGCTTCTACTGCCAGCTTGTGCCTTCCTAACAGGAACCTGAAACAAAATGTATTCAATGTGATTCATACCAATTTTTCTCTGATCTCTAACAAGCAAAAAAAAAATCTAATTAACACCATTTACAGCAGTAAAACTTTAGTACAGTTTGGCAAGGTGACCATTAGCCTGCTCCACTCCACATCTCAGCGGTTGTTTAGCTCACAATCTGACAAGAAATCCATCACATCAGCAAATGGGGAATAAGACCTATGATTACATATCACCCTGCATCTTTGCTTTTATTGCGATGACATATTATGGCATCAATGATTGTGAATGACCAACAATACTGCAAAGACCTTCAGTGACAACTATTGATGCAACCTGAATATCTCACAACAATTTAGGATTTCATATATTGAATCTCCCTCCATTACTTGGTGCTCTTCAAAATGTATGAATACATATATACACATCTTATATAGTAATATCAACTCTACTAATCTCTTTCAGCATAAGAAAAACTAAATATATACTTTATCCACACATATGCACATGCATACATAAACACACACTCCTATATTTACACAAACTTTCACACCCATACACATACACACATAAATCATACTCTGGAAATAGACACTGTATCATTGAATCATTCAGTCAGTCAAAAAGACTATCAGCCTAGTAATTCATTCATCTTCCCACTGAACTTCCAGCTCACATATATTGTTTATAACCCATCTACTTATTTCTATATAAAATTTTCCCAATAGCTCTCACCTGCTCTCCGGTCCTCCTTCCCTCCCTCCCACAAACTCACTCACTATGTTCCTCCCTTACCTATCTCTACATAAATCTATCTCTCACCACCACAAGTAGATTCAATCATTCCTTCCCTTGCACCATCAAGTCTCCCAAAAGTCTCTCATCCTCCGCATCCACACA